TGTGCTTTATATATATATATATATATATATATATATAGTATTCATTTTAACTAATTGCATGTTTATTTTCAAGATTCAAGGATACTTGTCCAAGATTCTTCTTAAACTTTGTCTCAAAATTAAACTTTTACAATTGCAAGGACACAAAAGTATCAACAACACTTTCTTCTCGGGATTGTAGCTGTGAGCTTTCAAATCAAATCATGGTTTCCCTTATGTTTGCAGAAAATTGAGGGGAAAAGTTAATAATCTATTGCAAATGTGAATGCAAAGTCCAAACTAAGTTACCAGATTAGCCCATTATTGATTGATATGAGTCAGTAAAACTAAGAAAGCTTCAACTAACAAGTAAATTAGAGCTCAATATTAAAACTATCAAAAAAAAAAAAAATTCTTGTTTGCAAACAATCAACATTCAACCATCAAAAAGATGAGTTCAATTAGTTTGTTCAGTTAAGTTAAGCAAACGCATAAATGATTTAAGGTTAGACTTTCTACATCAGTCAAATACAAGCTGATTTTTCATTCAACCAAATAAATCCTAACAATCCTAAAATACTTCCAACTTGGATTAATGATTAATCATAAATAACTAAGATAATCCTTCCTCAATTGATAAATAAATAGACACCACCACCGCCTTTTTGCAGTGGTTGAGATGAGATCAGCAGAAAAGAAGAAAATTGATAAATATCCATCACACTTACAAATGAACAGTATTAAAATTAGAAAGCCCAAATCTCTTCATTTTCTGCTCAGCCAACCAGTGAGGACTGATGAAGAGAATATCTGAGGCGAGCGTCGGCCGTCCGTCGGATTGATATTGACTGCCGGCTTGCTTTTGGTCTGTTAGCTGACGACGGCTCAGCGAATCTAACCCTTTATCTGTCTCTCCCTCCCTTCGTCCCCACCATACAAATAAACCTTGAAGAAAAGCCTAACTGAAAGGCCCACTCGTTATAATGAAGACAACATTTTCTCTACTAATCCCTCTTCCTCACACTTTCCCCTTTTCCGTAGCAGACCAGCCCTCTCAAATCTCCTCCTACCCTCCATCTTCCTCTCCTTCTACCTTTTAGCTATCCTACTTTCCATCACCACTTACCCTTTCCCACTCTCTTCTTCTTCTACTTCTCTGCATCTGGGTTTCTCTGTTCGAAATGAAGGTAAATACAGGGTTTGCATGGTATTGTTGATTTAAGCTGGTTTCTTTCATTCTGAACGTAGAAAGGCAGCTCCTTTTATAAAAAGGCGGATCCTTTCCAGTTGTTCAAAAGCACTTGCTTTGATTGGAATCTAGTAGTAGCAGATGTCAGATTTCCCTGTTCTTTTTTAAAAGAAAGTTAATTTTTTCTCTTAAAGTTGGAATCTTTTTATCTTCTGATTTTTATTGCAGAAACTTGTTTTGAAACTGGACTTACATGATGATAAAGACAAGAAGAAGGCTTTGAAGGCAGTCTCCAGTCTTCAAGGTACCATTTTTCTATCTGAGGTTCCTTTCAAACTTCCAGTTTCAATTAATTCTTATAATTTTCTTTTCTAACTTGCTATCTTACTTCTCTGCTCTCCCAGGAATTGATATGATTGCCATGGACATGAAGGAAAGAAAACTTACAGTAGTGGGATCTGTGGATCCCATTGATGTGGTGAGCAAACTAAGGAAGTTTTGGCACACCGAAATCCTTTCAGTTGGGCCTGCAAAAGAGCCTGAGAAGAAGGAAGACGCGAAGAAGGAAGAAGCGAAAAAGGAGGAACCAAAGAAGGAGGAGCCTAAGAAGGGAGAAGCAAAGAAGGAGGAAGCAGAGAAGAAGAAGAAGGAAGAACCAAAGAAGGAAGAGATCAGTCCTCATGACCAGATGATCATGGAACTTGTGAAGGCTTACAAGTCTTACAATCCTCAGATGACCACTCACTATTATGTGCACAGTGCAGAGGAGAATCCAAATGCTTGCGTTATTTGCTAGTGAAGTTTCTGCGTGTCTGAGAGGTTTTATGTATAGTGTTTAGTAAATAAGCATTAATGAGAAATTGATGTTGGATATGATAGAGTGATTAGATTTTTTTGATAATCTATCTCTCTGTTTATTGTTTGTGTTTCAGAAGAAGCTGCTTTGAGGCTATGTGTTGTTTGCAACTTCGATCATATTTTTGAGAAATAGAAATTGGAATGAGCTCTGATATGAGTTAAATTGTTGAAGTCTTCGCTTATTAACAATGGATTCCTGAACTTATTAGGAATTTAAGCCATAGCACCCCTTAATAATATTGTTTTTTCACTTTTTTTTTTTATTCTAGTTTTTCTAGAGGTTCATTTTAAGCCATACCAACTGAAACTAGCTTTTTTACAAATCAACAAACTCTCTTACATTAAAGTATCAAAATTTATGGTAAAACACCAACTCATGTAGGGCTGTCAAAACGGCTCGTTGTTCGCGAACGGCTCGTTGTTCGCGAACAACTCGTGTTCAGCTCGTTAAGAAGCTCGTGTTCGGCTCGTTAATTTTGTTCGATAAGTTAACGAGTCGAACATGAACTAAGATTTGTTTGTTCGTGTTTGGCTCGTTTTGGCTCGAAATACTACTCATCAAGTTTATATATAAACATATATATATATATAAAGTAGTATTTTAAAAAATTTAATTGACTACGCTACAAAGATTTATAATCTATTAAAATATTGATTAAGAAAATAGAATAATAAAAATTATTAAATTAGATTCAAATGATGTTTTAATATAAATAATTATTTTTTAAATCTTGCTCAAACTCTTATTGTCTTATGTCTTATGACTACATGATTAGAGTTGTTAAAAGGACTCTTTGGTCGTGAACAGATCAAACGAGCCGAACACGAACACACTTTTTGAGCTCGAAATATAAACGAGCCGAGCACGAGCTGAGCATGGCTCGCTCATGTTCTGCTCGTTTACACCCCAAAACTCATGTTTTTCATTTTTATCAAATTCTTCATAGATTGATTGTGGTACTGTCAATATTTCGGATGGTCTTTATGTAATTATCTAAAAAAATCATTTTTTTTATAATTTAAATATTATCCATCCTGAGATATAATAGTTGCCTAGTTAAACTAGATGAGTAAATTTCATTGAAGGTATAAAAATGGTAGGAGAAATGTAGTAAGCACGGTATATGTGTGATGGGAATATGAAAGTTGATTTTAATAATTTATTCTTAAGTTAAAATATTTAAATATATACACTAAATGTCATTATTAAATAAGTGCTTAGTCTTCAAATCATCCACACAGTTTTTTTCTTTTCTAATGACAATTCAAGAAAGTTTTCATTATTTTTAATGTGGATATATTGATGATCAACCAAAGAAACTAGAAACCACCTTTTCTTCGGAATGATGGCCACATATAAGGCCGCCAAAAAAGCTCATATTAGGAGACAAATCGTGTTCGTGTTTCAATATTTTGTTAAGCAAGCAAGTCAAACATAAATATTTTTTTAAGCTCAAATAATAAACGAGCAGAACACAAACAGCCCTTTGTTTGATAATGTTGGTCTAATGTTAGCTCGAAATTAATATATATATATATATATCATTCCCATTGTCAATATATATTATTTAGAAGGGGAGTGTTAGAGAATTTCCTAAATTGAAATCATGGTTAAATTTGTTAAAAATGAATTATTACCTTTTTCATGCTGGTCTGTCCGCCAAGGTCAGCAAAAAAAGAAGAGAGGTTTTCTATAATAAGCAAATTCAAACAAGCATAATGAGCTCTTCGGTTATGGCCCCCAGGGCATCAAATCATGCAAATATTCTCTCCTCACCATATGGAATAGAAACAACAGCCAGCCTCGTATATGAATTAAAAGAGGTTTTTTTCTTTTTTTTTTCATGCAGAGATGACTTTAGTTTTCAGCATAATTTTAATTCTAATGGGTGGAACTAGAGAGGTATCATCGTTATATATGTTTGAACATAAAAAAAATATGCCCGTACGAATCTTAAGAAAACTCAATGGTATTGCTAACATACACCAAAGGACAATGTATCTGGATAGCCATAAGAAGGAAATATCAAGCAACATTTCCTTTGATCAGAACTCTAAGTTGGCCGGACGAAAGCACATCCAAATGAAGAGATGGGAGCCCAATCCAAGAGACTATCGTTGATGAACAGATCTCTTGGTTAATTCTGTTACTTCTCATGAAACAACCAAAAAGCCCCCCACAGAACACCTCTCTGACCCTCTAAAGATTGAATATTGTGTTAGGATGTCGTATGTGTGAATTGTTGTATTCTTGTACTATTATGGTAGTATTGTGGTACAATACCGTCACACTTCCCAAAAATACCACCACAAATACCATCGAAATACTATCATATGTGTTATTCTGGTGGTATTTTGGTGATACTGTTCTGGCATTGCGATAGAATACCACCACAATACTACAAAAATACTAGCAATCCACACCCATCTCACTGCACGCAATATTTTCTGATAAGCAGGCTCCTTATCTAAGAAAAGTTGTTCGTTAGATTACGGTAGTACACCTTCAACTTAACGGCCGAGTTTATCCTAACATAGGAGTACCTCTTCCCAAAATTCTCCCTCGAAAGTGTTGACCAACAAACCTTCGCCCGACCAAATGTTTTCCGACTAACCAAAGGATTATATTTGGCAAAACGATAATTTTGTTGAGTCATCAAATGCAAATATTCAAGCGGTTATGAACACAAAAATGTGCTAGAATGAGTTATGAATACGAAAGGGAGTCAATGTTGGTTACGAAAACAAAAATGTGTCATAATACATTGTAAAGTCCCTATTATAACAAGAACAAATATGTAATTTTACACGAGGTACCCCCAAAATCTATAAATAAGGAGTGATTTATAAAATAAATGACTATTGATTGACTCTCTTAAACTTTCGTGTTACTGTGCTCTCTCTCTCTCTCTCTCACTGAGGTGAACGGTAGGAGAAATACAATGGGATTCGCATTGGGGAACACAACTGTGAGTTGGGTTTTTTGGTTGCAGAAGACTATTGCACTTTCTACTACGGAGGTTGAATATGTTGCTATTACTGATGCTAGCAAGGAGATAACTTGGCTACATAGTTGCATGGTAGAATTGGGCAAGGAGTAGGGGATTAGAAAGCTCTACAGTGACACTATGAGTGTGATTCATCTTGCAAATGATGTTGTTTTTCATGTCAGGACGAAACAAATTCAGTTGAGGTGTCATTTTATTCGCTCTCTTCTTGAAGATGGGCAGTTGTTCCTGGAGAAGATAGATGCAGCTCAGAATTCTATGGATATGTTGACGAAGGTGGTGATTGTTGAGAGTCTGATGTTATGCTTGACTTCAGTTTGGTTTCATGAAGGTTAAGACCGAGAGTGAGCCACACAACAGTACATGACCATAGCATGTGACAGAGAGGGAGGCGCCTTTGCGCCTCCTTGGGGGCTCAAGCGCCCATATTTTTGGCGCAGACAAAAGACCGACACTCAAGCCCCCAGTTTTCCGAGCACGATCCTGAGAGCATAGCGCTTAGGCATCAAATATGGGTGCCTAAGCGCCCAGTGCAATTACTTTTCTTTCTGGGTTTTTAAACAAATTTCAAGCGGCGTAACGATGTGTTCGGTGTAGGTCTTCCTTGAGTGTTCTTCAACATGTTCGTGGTGAAGGAGAGAAGAGTTGGAGAGGAGGATTTTTGTGATCTCGACATGTGTTGTTCGTGTCAGATCAAAGAAGGAAATTGTGAAGCCCGAGTCTTGTAAATTTATTTGTGTGTCGAGAGAAAACTAGTGTGATTCTTTTGTAAAGCCATCTGATTTTTCATAGTGAATTTGTGATGATGTGGCTCCATGATTTATACCCAATTTATGGTTTCAATTTTCTCGAATCCTGTGATCATATTTTGTGGTGTAACTAGAAGGAGATTCTTTCAAAATAATTTCTCCCAACAACAACATCATTAACCATTACGCAAAAATGAGAATTAAAAAAAAGAAGGATACATAGATAAACATTGTATCTAACGATACTTTATGTACAGTTACGCCTAGGGTACACATTATGAGAAAGACCCTCCTCGCTGTATCCTGGCCGTTGTCTGGACATCCGCAGTCGAAGTCCGGATGTAAAATTTTCTCGAGAGAGAAAGAGTGAGAGAGACAAAACATAGTATTTTTTTTTTTCCAATTGGATGTAATTTTTTGTCCTGACTTTAGTCAGTGCTGAATTTTCTTTCTATCTTAATGTCACTTTTTTATTTAATTATTCTAACGACAAATTGGCTTTCCTTATCAAATTAGATTAGGTTAGATCACATAAATAAATCTATTAATCAAATAACATAACTCGCATATTTAAATTTTACAAATAACCCAAAAATAAACCGGTTATTGGTGAAAATTGGCTTTAACGACACTTATTATTTTACATTTTGCAGAGCATGCAGATAATTGAGCTGCCTCAAAATCAACCCTAAAATTTTGACGAAGAATACGGCGTATTAATTTTCCTAACAATTTACGTATCCTATAATTCTTATGTATTTACATATCAAAAATTTTTTATTTATGTTTATAATGTTATAAAATTATACATGAAAAGATATATTTCACTCTTAATAAATAAAAAAATATTTATATTTTTATATAATATTAAAAATTTAATATGATGTATATAAATATAAAAAATCGGATGTTACAGATAGGGCCGTCAGAAAAGTTCGTTGTTTGCGAACAGTTCGTGATCGATTTATCAATGAGTTCGTGTTCGATTCGTTCGATAAGTAAACGAGACAAACGTAAATAATTTTTTTTCGTTCCGTTAGTTAAACGAACCAAACACAAACAGTGATGCGTTCGTTCGTGCTCGAATCGTTATTGTTCTAAATATAAAATAATTTAAAATAGATATAATATAATAAAATAATAATAATAATATATTAATATACTGTATTAGTAATATACTAATATAGATATTATATATTTATATAATATAAGTTATATAATTAATATAATATATTATTTATATATATTAAATTTCGTTCACAAACAACTCGTGTTCGGCTCGTTCGTTAAGAAACGAATACGAACAGTGACTTCACGAATAATTTTAAACACGAGCTTATTTCAAACAAACTATATTTCAAACAAACTG